GGCCGGTACTTTGCCTTTTCATTCCAACATCATCCTGCATTGGTTCCAAAACACCACCCATCATATCTGCACCAGCTGAACACCGTCGTCATTCATCACTGAGGCGCAGGCTCGCTTCCTGACCAATACCTGTGGCCACCTCCTGCGCAGCCAATACCACCTGCACACCCTCGACTATTTATGTTGCAGTCGAAAACAACCTCCCGATCAATCCATTCAGCGGTCCCCCCTCTACCGCATTGCCTGCAAGTCTCAACGCGTCTCAACTGCTTGGCCAAAACTCTGCGAAGCTGCAATCCAGCATGGCTACTCCAAACTCCAAAGCACCACTGTCCACTCCCGCGAACACTCCTCCATCTCGTCGCAACCCCAACGACAATAGTCCCAACAGGCCAGGGGTTGGAAGTTCTGTACCAGCAAGTACAGGAACCGGCCTTGCACGAACTCCGTCGCTCCGGCAGACCCGTCCCTTGAGGAAAACGCCCAACCGGATGAGCACATCCTTTATTGGCTCTATCGATCAGGACCAAGAGGACGAAGAGGCAAAGTCGGCCAATGTAAAATTGATCAAAGATTTGCAAGAGCAAGTACAGCGCGCTGAGCAGGCGTCGGAGCGATACAAAAAACAATTGGAAGTGATGCAACAACGGCTGGATGAGACCTCGCAAGCGCAGATGGCGTTGGAGGAACGCGACCTACAAAAGCAAACGGAAAGGGACCGTTTGAAAGCGGAGATCAGAGACCTCAACAGACAACGCCGAGAGCTTGAAATTGAACATGAGGAGCACCAGCAGCTCTTTCTTCAAGAACGAGAACGACAGATGAAGAAGGAGGCGGAGCAACAAGCCACCATTAACAGACTCAATGAAGCTTTGCGCTTGCAGGGCACCGAAAGGTTGAACGCAAGCCGAAGCGCAGGCATGGCTGAGTTTCAGGCGGCGGACGCAAAAACCGACGGAGATGGCTCTCGATCAGAACATGCGGCGAACTTGGCTCATAGCCTGCAACAGAAAGATGAGACAATCAATGCTCTGCGCTTAGAGCTGGCCGAGGCACATCTGAAATTGACGCAACAAGAACACGTAGGAGACGGACGTCTCCTGGAGCTGGACCAAGCGATTTCAGAAATGAAGATGCAGAATGCCAAACTCAAAGAAGAAAATGAAAGCTTCCAGATGCTTTTGAGCGAGAAGACGCTCAAAGGCACCTTTATGCACCATGAACACACATACGACGAGCCGAGCGCAATGAGCACGTTGGCAGAAGAGCTCGAATCCAGCGAGGCGCAGGAGAGCACTGACGGTCTGAACGAGGTGTACAAGAAACTAGAAGGAGAAAATAAGTCACTGAGAGATCAAAACAAGGCTCTCACATTATACATCGACAAAATCATCGGGCGGTTACTATCGCACGAAGGGTTCGAGCATATTATTCAAGATAAAGATGATGCGCATCCGGCTCCCACAAAGTCATACACGGAGAAGGCGTTGCCTGCAATACCAGATCAACAAGCAGCCGGCTCCTCGACCGTGGCGGGGGTAGCTACCGGCTTGCTGCAGCGAGCGAGATCTGTTGTTTCACGGCCAGGGGGCAAAGCTCGGCCAATGTCTTATGCACAACCAGCGTCGACGGGTCCTTCAGCAAATGAGAATCCAGATACTGCGCCCAGTATCCCGCTGAACCGCGGACATCGCAGAGCGAGATCTGATCAGGCGCAGGCTGACATGGCGGCTGCGGCAGTGGTTCAACAGATGAATCGTGGATCTCCCATGAGGACTGCCTCTGGAAATCCAATGAGCCCGGGTATTCGACCACTCAGTCCACAACTGCCTCAAGGACGCACATCATACTTTGGGGGCCCTTCCAACTCTACAACTACACGAACTCCATCTGCCTCCGGCACGCGTGGAGGTAGTTCTGCAAACAGCATCACCAGTGATTCACATAGCGACGAGCAACGGTCGACAACCGATGCTGGCTCGATGACCGCACAAATGAGTGGAGAGAGACAGGTTCAAGGGAGTATTCCGGGAGCGGTGATGAAACAGAACCAGCTGAGGCCACTACGATTAGTGCAAGAGCAGACAGCCTCCGAAGAAGAGATGCAGAAACGAGCGAACAGAAATTCCGTTTGGGGCTGGTTCCGGGGGAGCACCATTGAGACTCAAGACGAGTAAAGAGCAGTTTAGCTGAGGATGGACATGTAAGTGGATAGACTCTAGACTAAGCCTTAAGACTTTGGAATGACAGCCCTGGGCGGGCCGGGGAACAATCCACGGACGACGAGTGTTTAACAAGAAGTAACGAGTATCGAGTTCGAGATTGAGCTGGCGTGGCTGGTTCCCTTCGAGTGGCTACACGTTGTCTGACCGTGGATTGGCGCCCTCTCCTAAGAGTAATTCTGCGTGGACGAGGAAATCAGCATCTGTCAGACGTAAGTCTTTTTTCGAAGGTGCGGCTTTGCCCAATGTGGGCATCCGCTTCCCGGGACGCCGCCCCGAGTCTTTTCTGACATGCGCGAATTCTGTGCTTCGTCTGTTCACGACTGCGCTTTCTGCCATCCAATTCGATGACCTTTTCCCATGTCGCTCTGGTTGTCTCCAGTATTTACCCCTTTGGCGGGCTTCTCGGACTCCACTTCGACCCATTCCCACCTCTACGGGCCATTTGACGGCGGTACAGGTGTAAGTTACGATGGCGATGCAGTCCCCATTGGAGGAATGGGCGGGGTGGGAAAAAAAGTTGGTACAACAAAGCAAAGGGCGTCGAGTCACCATTGCCTCCCGCTTCCCTTCAGCGTCTTCACCTTTTGACAAAACCGTCACGTAGATTTCGTGCTCCCTAAGATACTCTCTTGATTTCCTTCTGTCTCTTTCTTTCTGCCGAATCTACCACTTCGAGTGACATCGATAACTTTACCCCTCCAGCTACATCTCGACACAGTCCCTCACCGCATCGACGTCGTCTAAAATGCCGGCCCAACCCAAGATTCACTTGGTCCGTCACGCTCAAGGCTTCCACAACCTGGGCGCTGAATTCCACTCTCTTCATGACCCCCATCTCACGCCTCTGGGAGAATCGCAGTGCGCCAACCTCCGAGAACGACACTGGTCTCCCGAACGCCAGCAGTCACTCTCGCTGATTACCGCGTCGCCCCTCAAGAGAACCCTCCACACTGCTTTACTCACCTTCTTGCCAGCCCTGACAGCCGACGCCAAGTGCAAGCCTACCATTCTCGCGGTTCCCGATGCCCAAGAAACCTCCGATTGTCCCTGTGACACAGGCTCCGACGTCAGTGTCCTGCAAACTTTCTGCGCCGAGCAGAAGTGGCCAGTCGACCTTTCGCTTGTGACAGAGTCGTGGAACGTCAAAACACTAAACGGCCGCTACTCTCCGTCAAGCGAGGCTATCCAAGCCCGTGCAAGAGACTGCCGCCGTCTGCTCCGCCAAAAGGCTCGCGAATTGGTAGAGAGTGGAGACGACAACGTCGAGATCGCCCTGGTGACGCACGGTGGCTATCTTCACTACCTCACAGACGACTGGGAAGACGCCACCAAGTTGTTTGGAACTGGCTGGGAGAACACCGAATACCGCACGTACCACTTTGAGCACGCTTTCGACTCGGACTCGGACGAGGAGGCGTTCTTGATGGAGACAATGGAGAGCCGGAAACGCAGAGGCCTAGAACACCCGATGTTGGACCACGGCAAGCAAAAAGAACTGTTTCAGAAAATGGTGCAAGGCTGGGAGGGACAGGGGCTGCAGAATCCGAGCAAACTGTCTTCTGTGGGAGATGAAGAGATCATTGAGGAGCAAGAGAAGTCTGGCCAAGACCCGGCGGATGCAGAGAGACATGTCGCAATTGCGGATGAAGTGCAACCTCAACCTGCCAGCGTGCAGGTTATGGCTTAAGATCTGCCGCACACCGCACAGGGGTATTATTGTACGGTGGAGGATTGCTCAACAGAAAGTGGAGGTGTGCCTTGTTACCCGATATTCGGGACATTCGACGGACCACGACTTGGATTAGATTCATGGCGGCACGCTCCAACAGAGAGAAGGAAGAATGGAGAAAGGAGACTATCCGGATTGATCTTTTGGGCAGGATTCTCTCTTCCTCCCTTATCCCTTCGGTCCTCACTCGCCTCTGCCGGGATCATGACCTGGCGTTGCACAAGAGTACAGGGACGGGCAACAATGGAAGGGATGGGACGTTATCGATTATCCATTATCGAATACCCAGCCTTCTCGTGCTGGTTTGGAAAGCATGGCGATTGGGGGATTGGGTTGGGATTGGGATGGGATTGCATTCATCATCGCTAGAATAGACTTTGAACACCGCCCATAGAGCACAGACCTCACTCGGTTCAGCTCAGCTCAGCTGAGCTGCAGTAGAACGTTTGAACACTAGAACATTAGAATAACGAATGAATGAACGGGAGAGGTTTATGGACTGGGTAGATTCGACTGAAGCTCGACTCGAGCCGATCTTCATGAACAAGAGGAACAGGGACCAAGGGAGAGACAGTCACGGTCAAGCACGCCAACACCCACACTGATAAACGCTTGTATTATCGTCATCGTCACCATCGCCATCACATCACCATCGCATCAATATCCGGATCCCCAGTCCAAACTCAAGTCTATCTATTTGTCCCGCACTCGAAGGCTTTCTGCCCATGGCCTATACTCACTTTTTCTGCCTTTTCTCCCTTGCCTTCTTTTCTCGCTCTGGTCCTTATCCTTCCTTATCCTCGTCCCTGCCTCTGTCCTTGCTCTTGGATATATCTTTCGTATCTTTTTATGTATATAGTTATGTAGAGATAAAAACTCTCGTATCTCCTCTCGCGCAAGCCCCATCTCCTTTGTCAGCGTATCATCTACCTACCTATCTACCACTCTACCTGTCCGCCCTCTCTCTCTCTCTCCCTACCTCTTTAATCTACCCACCCACCCGCCTACCACCTCCTTCTACCTCCGGACCTAGGCTTCTGTTGAGGTCAGCGCACACCAAACTCCCTCTCCCGCATCGACCGTGCACCTCCACCACCGTCACCGTCGCCATACTTCCTCTTGCACATCACGCCCAAGTACCCGCTCCCCGCGCGCAAAAAACACACCTTTTGCGCCGGGTTGCCGTCGCCGCTGACGCGGCGGTCCGGGTGGGAACTCGATTTGGATTCGTGGCGTTCGTAGAGCTGCAGGAGCGGGGATGCGGTGTCGCTATCCCCGTCATCATCGTGACGACGTGAGGGAGATGATGACGACGAGTCGTTGAGCATCTTCTCCGTGACGAGGTGCCAAAATGTCGCGTTCAGGGGGGATAAGGCCGGCCAGGAAATTCCCCTTCCCTTTCCTCTCCCCGTCCCCTTCTCCTGTCCTTCTACGTCATCACCGCTTTCGTCGTCGTCCTCGATCTCGGGGATCGAATACACCTCTCGCGTATCATACTCGAATTCCCAAACCGGCGTCGTCCACCCGAGGCTGTTGGACATGTTTGCAAAGTACGTCTGGGCGCCCATGATGGAAAAGGTCGCCGTGTCGACTTGATAGACGCGATAGCCCGAGTTGAGGCCCGTCAGGGGCGTGATTGACGGGCCAATGTGGCCGATCTGGAGCGGCTTGGTGAAGTCGACCTGCGTCGTGTCGCGGAGGGTCTTGGATTCGGAATTCGAGGGCGCGACGAGCGACGAAGGCAGGTAGTCGTAGAAGATCTGCACTTGGTCTTGGTGCGTGTGTCTGTATATACATAAGAGAAGTGAGCTGGCAGTTCCACGTAATGTTTTCAGACAGACCGACAGAGAGATCGAGGTAGGTAGGGAGTGAATACTACATTGTGACATAACTCGTGGGGGGAAACTCACCCAAAAAACACCGCCGCAATTGTCGCCGGCGAGAAACGCCGCACGATCGAGTAAAACAGGGCCGTGGGATTCGGCATGCCCGCGGAGCCGTCATACCCCGAGAGCACATGGGCGATGATCCACGCGCGCTGACCCTTCCGCTCGCACGCCGACAGCTCGTCGGCCACCCACTTGAGCACCCCGCTAGGATCCGGGTCCGTCACGTTCCAATAGTTGAAGATGTTCTCCTTGTACCAGAAGTCGGAGTTTATGGAGATAATCCGCAGGCCTTGCGTCGTGGTGGTCGCGTACGCGCCAAAGTGCGTGGCGGCGAACTCGGCCTCGGAGTCGTTGAGCCACGCGTGGCCGGAGGGGGACCACAGCGACGCGACGAGGTCGTAGTTCCACTGCAGGGCGTTGCTGCTCCGGTTGGTCGGGTCCGGGTTCATGCTGTGCGGCGTGTTGAACCCCACGGGCAGCGTGTCGTGGTTCCCCAGCGCCGTGTACACGGGGATCCTGTCGCCCAGCAGGCGCTTGAAGACCTTGAACGTCACTTCCTCCTCGTACGCCACGTAGTCGCGAGACAGCAAGTCCTCCGGGTCGTGCGAGACGATGTCGCCCGTGAAAATACTGAAGGAGAGCTCGTCCATGTCGACAAATTTGGGCATCTCGACGAGTGCCGACAAGGCCAAATCGGCGGGCGAGTCGCACAGGAACGACCCGAATCGCGACGCCGGGATGGACGGGTTGTGCGCATCGGTAGACAGTTCCTCGTTCACAGAATACGGTCGGCAGCACATGTAGTTGGAACAATTGCTTTCGGACCCAATGTCGTAGCGCGGGTCCAGGTGCCAGTCGGAGAGATGGAGTACGTTGAAAGTCTGACCAGAAGGCTCGGGGGCCACGTTCGCCGAGTCTGGCTTGGGGTCAAAGTACAAGTCCTCATCGATCAGGACCGGAGGCTGTTGCTCACAGAACTCGTAGTTGATGGCGCACCAGTGCTGCATGTCGCCCGTGGCCAAGGTCATTTTGGAAAACAGCTGCGCCATATACGGACCGTAGCCGGCGCCGGCCTCGCCGCTGAAATGCGACTCGCAAGACGCCGCGCGCAGCTGTGCCTTAAACTCCGGCACAGCGTTGCACGCCCTCACGAGCACGTTTGTAAAGACAGCCACTGGCTGACTGATGGCCGCGACGTGGAGCACCTGGCCCGCGGCAATGCATTTCGAGCAGTTGTCCGGGTAGTACGAGGTGTGCAGGATGGAGAGCAGCTCGTTCAGGATTGACTCCTCGACGACCGCCTCGCCCAGCGGGGTGATGGCCTCTGGCAATGGCGACCCCTTGTCGTACGCAGGGACCGGCCCTGAGCCGTTGTAGTAGAGCTTGATGACATCCTCGGCGATGATATTGGTCAGTTTGGGGTTCAGTGCCTCAGGAGAGCCAGCCAGGGGTGCTTGAGCCGAGGCCGGGGAGGTTGCAAAGGCTGCTGTAACGAGGGAAGTATGTTTGAGGATGGCCCAGTAGCCCCAAAGAGCGCCGACGAAGGAGAAGAGCATGAACAGAGGTGACAATCTCGTCGACATGTGCAGGGCTGGTGGACAAGACTTGGTGGCTAGGTCTCTCGGTTGTTATCGTGACAATAGCCTGTAAAGACAGGTCCAGCGAGAGGCCATTCGAATAGCGTCAGTCATGCGGGTCGACAGCAGGATGAGTGTTGTACTGTAAGAAGATGTTGAATGGTCAGACGGGTTTGGACGTTGATGTTGGAGGTTCGACGAATGCGACGGACACGATGAATACGATGAAGTCATATCGGGATCCATCTCCGAACCGCCGACATTTGACCCACAACTACAACTTCATACATGCAAGAAGACATACTGGGTATATATGCTCTTTGACTACTCTTACATTATAAAAAGAACTAAGACATATACTGGGGGTAAACTGTAAAATGTAGACTGTAGCTAATAGTCTGGTCACATTTTTGAAGCATTCAGTAATGTATCGTGTAGCCTTGCATCGCATCTGCGTGTTGACTGGGGTCAGTATGTAGGCATATGTACCGAGTATATAGCTAGCTGTATGTACACGAATCCCAGGTTCCCATTCCCCATTCCCCATCTTCTCCTCATACCATTCGAGGAGCGATTCCCATAAATCCATACCAAACATCGCGTGGCATAACATCACGTGGCAAAACATCGCAAAGCAGAGACATAAAATCTTTTTTGATCGACTTTTGTCGCCACCCATGCCCGAAAACCAGAAGCAAGAAAACAGACAGATGACCGCCCTCAAATCCCTCGTCGAGACCAAGGCACCTGTTTTCCCTTGGTGCCGATCAGTGATCAAGAACCATGGCAAAGCTCAGAGAGCAGTGCAGATCCCTCCAATTCCCAAAAAAGCAAAACAAAAACAATATCGCTCACGATAGCCGACCCAGGTCCTCGGTTGTAGTTGGAGGACACGCAGTGGGAGGGGGGGACGCAGAAACACCCCTCCCAGTATCTGCGGTAATAAGCAAAGACACAGAAAACAAATATGCCGCCCAGGATGCTCGTGGTGTCGAAAAGGAAAAAATGCAGCCGAAACCGATGCTGGGCCAGATGGGAGGGCCGTCTTTCCATCGCCCTTGGGCTTCCAGTCAAGGGGTATTGTGGCTGATACATAACCCCCAGGTTATTCCTTCGTGGCTCGAGAGACGTGGAATCGAAGAGAGGACCACACCATTCTTCGTGGATTCCTTCTTCTCGTTTCCTGTATTTTTGGTGAATCTCTTCCACGCTCAATGTCCAAAGCTCCCGATCCAGCTCCCACTGGGTCTCACAATGTCAATGGGGACGCTCCCCACCTGGAGGGACGGACTGAGTCCCAGTCCTTTCTCACCACCGTCGGCGCCATCTCGGCCGACCTTCTCGCTGAGGTCCTCATCGACCTCGAGATCAAACGCCTCAGCTGGTTTCCCATCTCTCAAAGCTGGGCTCGCGAGCTCTTCGTCGAGCTCGAAAAATCCAACCCCGCTGCCACCATCCGCGGCACCAATCAGGCCGCCGGAAAACCCAGACTCGTCGGGGGAAGAGATCAGGTGTGGAAGCTGCAATGAGGGTGGATTTCCATCAAAGGCTGGGGAGGCCGAGGACGTTGGGTTAGGACTCGCCAATGGTGAAGGGATAGGCGAGATGAATCGACCTCCCCGCCCTCTTCCTCGACGCCTGTCTTTCACGCTCAATAGTGTGGGACTCCCCTTGTCCCTCGCCTCACCAATTTCTTCGCGAACATGCTCGTCCTCCAAGCCCTGCTGTGCGGGTTCACCGTTCGGATCTTTCTCAGCCTCCAACTCTGGACTAGGCCCTTCTTCGTAGCTGCTACTTGGATCGACGACTTTGAGATCCGCCAGCTGGAACATGACATGCTTCCTTCTCCTTCCTCCCCCACTGGCACTCCTCAAGGCACTGGGGAGGCTTGCACTCGGCAAAATGGACGTGGACTGGGCACGCTTGGTTGCAACCACGGACGGCGAGACCGGCTGCGGAGGCAATGACTGAGACGATCGGGTCTGTTGTTTCAATACATTGTCCGCGCGTTCTTTCGACTCCGCATCCAGTTGAAGTCGTTTCGTCTCCTCTTCCTCAGACGTCAAGGGTTGCGGACTCTTCACGATCGGAGTACGATCGCGCGAATCCAGAAGAGGCAGATACATGGGCGTGAACACCCCAGCGAAGGGATCGGACCGATCTTTCAAAGGCGTCGGAGTGGACGCAGGTGGAGAATGGCTCCTTCGCCGTGCAGGCGGCGGCGGCGTGGTCAGCCGTACCACGGCGTTTGTGGGAGAGCGGGATCTTGCACGAGTCAAGATCGTAGGCGTTGGGGGCGTCCCCAGCGTATGCAACGGCGGGGTGGTTTCTCCCGCAATATTTAATTTCTCCAGGGACAGAGTCGGGCCGCTCAGCGGGGGCGGTTTCTTGATGACCTTGTCACCCACCACCCCGTCTCTTCTCGCTTTGTGGGCTGACCAGCCATTTACAGAGCCGTTCTGGGTCGAAGCCAGTAGATTCAGAGCAGACGTGGGCGTCGAGGCTGTCATCGAAGCCTTTGTGGGCGTGCCATCGGAAGCACTGTTGGCCCCGACCCGCGACCTCTTCTTATTGACCCACAACTGCTTCTCAAACTCGCGAAACTCCCGGTCCTTTGCAGCCTTGAACCTGGCCACTTCCTCGTCCAACTGCCTCCTCTTCTGGTCGAGGGCATCGAGAAGTTCCGAATCAGAATCGCTAGTGTTGTCGGGCGAAGGGAGGGCGTTGGGCGGAATGCCGTTGATGCATCTCAGCTGCGCCGAGTTTCTATACATGGTAAAAAAAGAAATTCCTCCTCTCGTCTCCTGTCTTTTATGCGTCGTGTTACGCCCCCGACAACAAGTCCTAGGTGATCAAAAGTGCCAGCATACAGAGACCAGGTCACCGGGACGGGGGGGAAAACAACTGGGAACACATGAATGCAAATTCGGGGAGGTTTTCTCAAATCCTAGAGTTCGGCGAAAGGGCTCTCCAACGAGACAAAGCTGAGGTGAAACGGGACGGTTTGGAATTTCGCGAGGAAACTTGTCACCCTCGTGTGCGCGTCTGTGTGGTTGTCTTCTCGAGTGAATGGTCGGGGAAACACTGGAAAAAAGAGGGGCACCCGTTTTTTTGTCAGAGATGCGGTTGGTGGCGGGTTTAGACGGAGACGGGCAGACGGAGAGGTGCCAGGATCATCGACTTCGACAGGGCCTGCGTTTTGCGTGTGCGTGTGAGTGTGAGAGCGAGTGTGTGCGTGGAAAAATTGGGAGTTATGGAGAAGGTCGCAGGGGTGAAGTCGGTGAGGGCGAGGGAGGGCGTCGTAATGAAGGCGGTAATGGAGTTTTCGTCCAGGGTGACACGTCAAGAGGACCTTGGGAGGGTTTTGTCTCACACATGGGACATGTGCAATCCTAAGACTGGGGACCAAAGAAAAAGCTTGTCGGGAGTTGTAGTTGGTAGATTGCTTAGAGGGGACGAGGCGAGGAGGTTACGGAGGAACGGTTTTGCGGGATTGAGTTCGATTTCGGAAATCAAGGGTTTATCCCAGGTTTAATCCATCCAGGTCGCCGACAATTCGGGAATGTAAATATCTGTGTGGGATGGCAAGATGGATAAAGAAGTCACCCAAGAGAAGCCACTCGAGACTAGAGGCTAGACGGAGGAGGGGGTGGATGGGAGGACAAAAGGGCCTTTTTTTTGGCTGGTCGGAAACTCCTGCTTTGGAAAGAGTCAAAAAATGATGCACCCCACTTTTTTGTGGTGGACGATACTGACCGAGTAAGTAGCCGAGCGAGATGATAAATGATAAAATATTGGGGGTGGACAGCGAGCGAGCGAGCGAGAGTGGGAGGAGGCAGGGATGGATCGAGAGCGTGGGCGTGGGAGGGGAAAAAGAAGCGACGAGGGCGAGGCGCACCAACGTGGGCGTGGCTGTTGTGTGGCCCTTGCTTGTGGTCAGCTCTAGGGGGGAAGAAGGATCAAATAACTATTTCTGAGCCTCTAGGGGCGAGAGGGATGGGGGGAGAAGGGGGAACAATTGGACGGGTACAAGTACTTATTAAGGCCGACTACGAGGTTACAAGTACTACTCGGTACTACCCATCGAAAGGGCCATGCATGCATTATTGCATTGACAATCTCCAAACACCCACGGACAAGGGAGGGTGACTCGGTACCTCGGGAAGAAAAGAAGAAGAAAAATCACACCATTCATGGGATCAATGGAGTAGCGCAGGCTGAGTCAGTCAGTCAGAACCTATACAAATCAAGTACGAGGTTACAAGTAGGTAGTTGATTGACATATTGTGCTCTTACTAGAGGGCCGCTCCCAGCCTGCAATGATGCAAGACAAAAGGAGTATCTACCAGAAAGGACAATAGCCTAAAACATTGGAAACAATGAAATGAACCTTGCAGTATCGAACGATGATAGACACGACGAAACGATAATGATGATGATGATCCCGGATGATTTATCGATTGGAGAAATAACCCGCTGATCATTCTGGGGTCCTCGAGGGACATGGCAAGATAGCATCCCATGAATGCCCAAACATGGGCAATTCGAACAAAGGCTTGAAAAAGGTCCAGAGAGGGAATTGGGAAATGATGCGCGATCAGATCGATAGGCGATAGACGAGGCGGGCAATTATTGGCGTTTGGGTGGTTGGGGAGTGACTCCGAGAGGGGGATGCGTTGGGTACCTACCTACGTATGGGGTTGGGGGGGCCACTTGGGGGGTGTCACTTGGAGGGGGGATACAATTACTGACGCCTTACGAATAGGCACTCGGACTGTCCCTGAGACTTCCCGAGGCAGGCTTCCAACTCACAAAAGCCTCGCTCAGAAGAGGTTCCGAGGCGCACCGACGGATGCTGAACGGGGCATCTCTAGGCTTCTACTGTTCTTCTAGGGGCGAACTTGCTCAACTGTTCTACGCCTCGGCCTAATCATTCCGAGCTGACAAGGCCCCCCCGCTTTTCACGTGACGTCAAATCTCTCCGACAAAACTGCATGTGATCGATCCGATTTTGCTTGTTTGAAAGAAAAATGGAGGCGAATCATCCGCCCATCTTCACCGCTACTTGGTTACGTACTTGGCCCTTTTGGCTGAACTCTACAAGGGTACTCGAACTCGGTACTCTGGCGCCTCCTCCATATCTCGGAATACCCCAATCTAGTAATGCCGCTTCATCGCCGACAATCGGACTCGGAGTAGAACACCGAACCTGAGAAGCCCGATATCACCAAAAACAACGACAAGTCAAGTACACCAATGTATGTCTCAACCCGGACTCTCTGTGCTTCCCGATTCCCATTGCCAATACTTCCCCATACTTGAGTCATTTAGACCGCTCCTCGTCCAGCCGCTTCTCTTCGCGCTTCCCGTCTCCGGCGCCGATACTGGCGCGAGTATTCCTCGGCTGGGTCTGTGTATCCGTCGTCACTGAATCGCGGCCAGTTGTACTCGCTGAACTTGACTCTTCGGCCGTCGCTTGACAGAAAGCTCTCCTGGTTCTGCGCCGCCTCCGCGATAGTAGGACCTCGCGGGCGGGGGTGAGTATCGAGATTCACAGAGCTTCTCGTCACTCCCGGAATAGACGCTTCTCTTGCATATGCGGTCGAGTGCAAAGGGGAACTGGGTGACATCCATGCTCGATCTTCCACTTGCCCAGCTCTCTTGTCGACCACCGGCCCGTGGAGATTGCCCAGCACCGTCTTCATTTCGTCCTCCAAACCCCGGCCAGAAAATTCCATCGAAGGAATGCGTGGCTCCTGATACCGGGTAGAGTGATTAGCTTGTGACGGATCAGCATTCAGAAAAATCTCCTTGTGGAAATCCACCAGTGGCCACGTGTAGCTTTGACTTGGACGACCTGTAAGCGTCGTGCCATCTCGATCACGAGTAGCTTGTCGTTGAGCCGAGTTGCTCCCGCCGTGCGCGGCCTGGAGAACGGGTGGAACCCCATTGACAAAACCCGATTGTAATGTAGGTGGAATATAACCAACGCTGCCATTCTTGTGCTTCGATCCAGTCGAATACGCTTGGAACGTGACGGGGTCCTGCTTCTCAGTGTCTGTCTTGCCGGGATATGCCTTGAAATGAGGCTTGGGGCTTTCTTGACCGACAGGGATGGGCGTCGAATCCACAGTCAAGCTATTGAGCTTTGGCCCTGGCTTCTCCTCCGCAGACAACGTCGGGGTAGAGTCCAGCTCGATGCTATGTCGCACACCAGACCGGAATTGGTCAAAGTCATCTGGCGTGTCAATGCCAAAGAGACGACGCTCATATCGTGACGGCGCTTTCGTTTCAGGGACAAATATCGGGCTCATCGTGCGCGTCGAGAAAGTGGACGGAAGTGATACGAGGGACCCCAGGGCTCCGTTGCATATGTCTTGCAAGCTTGAAAAGCTGCTCACCGACCCAGGCCCGAATGCAAGGTCGAACATGGCTTCTCGGTGTCCGGGTATGAACTCGCGCCCGGGCTCGGGGGTTGTTGATGGCTTGCTGCGTGTCTCTGGCTGGTGGGTTTTCGATCCACGAAATTCTGCGGTACCAGCATGAGTTAGGAACTCTTCAGTCCGAGTCGCCGGTTCGTCCGACTCACTCTCAACCACGGACTTGAGGCACCCTCGACCTCGTCTGTCATACCACCCACGGACTGCTGCCTTCTTCTTGTGCGCCACCGCCTTGAATCGGTCAACGAATCTCGCCGTTTTTACCCCTTGGGATTGGGTAGGATTGACTTTTTCGCGCATGCTTGGTAAGAGTGTCGGAGTGAGTTGGCGAGATTTGAGTCGTGTAGAACAAGTCTGTTCCCGCTGTCAATTAGCTGGTCAGAGAATTTGTTGGGAAGCCGGCCGTAAACTCGACGTCGCTGTCGGATTTATCTTATTTCTTTCTCAAGGCACTCCTGTCCTCTCTTTGTGTGGCGTCCAAGCCCCTGAGGCAGATGCCTTGGATCGAGACAAAGGCTTTGGTTTCATGGCACCCGACACAACGGTGCCTTGTCGCAGAGTAATCATGGAGGACAAAGGGGGTCAAATTGTGAAACCACAGCTTTGATTATTTCTTTGTCCTTGGACTGACCACTCCCCCCAGCTACTGCTTCGGCGATATCATGGATCCTTGTCGACGAGTTGACTCCGTCACGGCCCCTAGTCCATGGGAATGTAGCCTGGAACATGCTTTACTTGCTCGCACCATTTGAGGATCGACGGCCATCTGGAGAGTTCGAATTTCGCGTCTCCAGCAATATGAGTGTACGCAAAGAGACAGATATCTGCCAAAGTGATCTGCGAATGCTTGCTTAGCATGTATTGAGACAGGGGGGAAGGCTAAGCTGAACGACATTGTTGAAACAACTCCGAGTCGAACAAAGAAAGCAATAGAACTCACGCTGTCGCCCACGAACCACCCATGCTCGCTCTTGGCAAGGTGATCCTCCATACAATCCAAAACCTGCTCTCCTGCCGCGACCTTAGCCTTAATCTGCGCACGTCTGGACGCTTCGAGCTTATCCTCCCCAATGATGTATAACCAAAATCGGAGAGTTGCGATATTGACTTCGTGCTGGTTCTGTTCGAAGAACATCCAGCGCAACATCTCTGCACGCTGTAGCGGGTCCTGGGGAATCAAAGTGGCCACTTGTAGCGGGGAGGACGACGTGAACGCTGGGCCGGCGGCATCGGCGAGATAAAAGCAGGCGGCGTTGCTTTCCGGCAGAAACGTGGAATCGCCAATCTGCAGCACGGGGATTCTACCAAAGGAAGAGACGGTGCTGAGGAACTCTGCCGTTCTTGTTTCACCATTCAGGATTGAGTAGAGGCGACGTTCCAGCGGTATACCCAGCAACGCCGCAGTTAGACGGATCTTGTAGCAATTAGCTGAGATGGGGTCTTCGTGGAGAGTAAACTTGTCCATGTCTGCAAGAGATAATCTTGGAGTGCAAGCAAGTTCACGATGGTAAAGGTAGGGAGACACGTAAGTTGTGAGGCAGCAACCAGCAAAGTCCAGTACCCGAAGCACTCTGGGCTTTGAAAATGGCGAGAGATATGTAGAGATAACATCATCGAGGTTTCTGATCGGCTGCACTTACTGTTAGATATATCCTTGGATGAACGGTCGTGATCTTGTCATCTGGGCGCTAAGACACGCCCTTCGGGATGTCCGTAGTTAATCATGACCAGTTAGACACGAGAGGCAATGCTTCCGTACGACCCGACCTATAGACATCTGGTATGCAACACCTGGAATCAAAATGCGCAAGCAACCGAAGAATGCTGCTGTCGTCAAGCATGGCAGTCCAGAATTCCGTAGTGTCAAGGACCACCGGGTTTGACCCAAGAAGAGTTCACCAAACGACATATCGAGGGGGTGGGTGCTTCTCTTCTTATATCACCAGCAGTCCGGGGGAGGATGACCTACAGGCACTAGATCGAGGGGGTGGTTGCCTCCGCCGCAAGTTGAACTTGGCCTGTACGATCGCATATGTATGTGATGCATGATGCGTCCGTGCTTTAAATGGCGCGGAGCGGAGGTCATGCTCCTCCCCGGGCAAAAGAAGCCGTGGTTCAGATCAATTTGCTCCCCATCCCTGAAGACTCACAGTAGCTGATTCGTCTAGGGTAGACCCCCTCGCATACTTGCTCTTCGTTCTTGTTACGGAGTGGGCCCCTTTGCCCTCTGGAAGATCCCTCTGCACGTGCATATGCATATGAGTACTCCGGGCGGGGGTAGTCCCAACGAGGGCAGGGATGGATGGAGGTTGGTAGGAAGTACCTCGTACAGTAGATCTGATCTCTCTCTCTCTCTCTCTCTCTCTCTCTCTCTCTGTGTGTGTGTGTGTGTGTGAGAGAGAGAGAGAGAGAGAGAACGCTATACTGCACTCGGTACCCAGTACTCGCGGTCCAACCATGGAATAGGTACATGAGTACTCCGTATGGACCTCGTACATACTTCAATTTCTCGGTACACGTACTCGGTACTCGGAGTGCTTAGGTCGGTCATTCGAAAGAGATGCATGAGTTAGTATGTACCCTCGTACCTACGTACTTCAGTTCTTAGTCGTTCGTAGCAGAGACGCTATGCTCCTCGATGTACTCCGTAGACGAGATGTCGGAGAGTCGGAGGTTAGTTCCGTCCGTGGCTGCGTGGGTTCCTGGGTTCCTGGTCTGGTTCGATTCGGGTTTGGTGTCAACGGAATGACTACTGTTAGTACTGTACAGGGTAGGTACCATAGCATGAAGTTTGGTACCCAGGTAGCCAGCATTATTGTCCGGGCAACTGGTTTCCTAAATGGTGAGTAGCGGTAATTCCAGGATGTATCGATACAGCAGTCATGGAGTCCAGCGGTGGAGATGCAGTTTGTCCAAGTTGCATTCAGATCCAAGGGCGGCAATGGAAAGTGAAGTCAGAAAACTCTCCGGGTGTCTGTGCGCGCCAAAAAAAAAAAGGAGAGAAGCCAGTTACGTGCGCGTACCATGGCTTCAAAGTACCGCGGACCACGAACCACGGACCAGGCGTGCAAGATCACTTATTTAAAAAAGACATAGTTGAAGAATGCTGCTAAAGATAAATTTCTATTTCATTTCCCAATCTTTTCTCTGGTCATCGCCTCTAGCCGTGGCACCGCCTGGAACTTGCACCACGTTCCTACATCCAAATCATTCATCCCGAACCAAGGAGGCTCTTCTACCCAACCTCCTTTGCTAAATCCCAAAAGAACTTTTTTTTACTGCTGAAAGCACGCTCTGGGATGCCGACAAGATTCTCAGCGAAGAAAAAAGCTCATGATGGAAAGAAGGTGACGAGCAGAAAGACCTGTTTAGGCAATACCGCTGCCACCGGTGAGAGTGATGATTTGACCTAAAAGGGCAAGGTTAGTGATCGGCTGGCAAAACACGACAACTAATTACAGGGGCAAGACTTACCGTTGATCCATTCGCTGTCGGGGTGGCACAAGAACATGACAACCTTGGCAATGTCGTCGGGAACGGCGCATCGGCCAAGAGGAATGAGTTTGGCAATGCCGGCCTCGATCACCTCAATGGGGGTATCCTTGGTGGCACCGGGAGAGTAATGCCAGGCATTCTGGGCGAACATGTCGGTCTTGATACCGCCAGGGGCAATAGCATTGGCGGTGATGCGTCGTGGGCCACCATCAGCGGCGAAAGAACGAGCAAAGCCCTCAACTGCCGACTTGGAGCCAGCATACAGAGCGTGGTTGGGAACACCCAGACGGGCAGCAATGGATGACATGAAGATGATGCGGCCACCGTCTGTACCGGGAACCGATTAGCCTAAAAGGGAATGCAACCAACGGACCCTCGAAAACTCACCGCTGAGGTACTTCAGGGCATGTTGACCGACGAAGAACTGAGCACGGGTGTTGAGACCGAAGACTTGGTCATACAGCTCCTCGGTGACATCCTCGGGCTTGGAGAAGGCTTCCATGCCAGCATTGTTGATGACAATGTCCACTTGAGCGGGATGTCAGCACGTGATCCCGGAGAGGGTGGGGAGGTCACGTCAAAATATCTCGACTTACGCTTGCCGAAGTGCTTGATGGCCTCCTCGAAGAGCTTGGTGATCTCGGGGACCTTGGAGATGTTGGCTTGGATGGCAACAGCCTTGCCGCCGGCCTTCTCAATCTCGGCCACGGTGGCCAGAGCTGGCTTGGCCGAGCTGGCATAGTTGATGCAGACAGCAGCACCACGCTCAGCCAGGGTTTTGGCAAGTCCAGAACCGAGCCCACGACCGGCACCAGTGATCAGGGCAACCTTGCCATCGAGGCGGATCTGGGATTGGCCGCTCATGTTTGTTGTGAGATGTTTTGAGGTTGGGAAGGGCGGGGGAGGGGGTAGGAAGGGGCGGTGAGGACACGGATTGAGTAGATTGAGAGAAGGTTGACGACGAGGGTATCCGACAAGTGAATGACGGACAGTCTATATCAGATGATGACAAGCGATAATGAAGCACGAGTAAGGATGGGATGTTTGGAGGGGATGAGAATATAACTTATGTCTGTGAATGAACTGACCGCTCAAAGCAAGAGAAAAAGGAATAACGAGATTTTTTTCAATGGATGATATAAGAAGCACGAGGGGTGGGAAAAATAGGGGGCCAGAATCTCCCCTCCGTACTAAGGGGAGAGTTTGTTTGTGTGTGCACACGCGTGTTTGGTGAAGTGCGTGGCGGCCTCTCTGTGACTGACTGTTCCCGACACTAGGCCGGACTGCGACTACCCATGATAACTCGTACTATTGATTTTTCTTGCTACGCTGCCCGCAGAGCCCGCAGAAGCCCAAGTCGGTGATTCGGGCCAAAAAGGCGTTGAGGGAGGGGGAAGAGAGGGTCTGGCGACTCATGGCTGACAGCCTCACCGATGGTTCGTGCCTGGGACGGAGAGTAAAATGGACCAGTCGAGGTCTTTGCTGGTCACGCTGGCGAACCCAGCATATCGAGGCGGTGAGGATTGAACGATAATGTTGTTTGGACTGCGGGGCAGACCGCCACGAGCGGGAACGAGGGGCTCGGTCTCTGTGTAACAGTATTTAAACATGGAGGGGCAAATGGCAGTCTCACCGTTTTGTTGAAGATTGAGGAGAGGATCTGGCGGCGGGAGTAGAAAAAAAAAGGCATTGGGAGTGGATGGATGGCTTTACAGAATTGTCGGACAGAAATAGAATGCGGACTTGGAAGAAGGACATGTTATTGATGGGGGAAAAAGGGTCACATTGACCAGAGATATAGGCTTGTTGGTTTTTGCCGTAGTGAACGGAAAGGGCAATTTGTGAGTAATTATTAGCTGAGGAGAGAGGGTGAGGGAGAGAAGAACAGAAGTCGGAAGTCCGGCGAGATGTGCTCGGTACCTAGAGCATTGAATCCAGTAGTAGTTCCCGGTCTGTTACAAGGTAGGTACCTATCTGGCTACTGAGTAGTTGTTATTCTCCATTGCAGTTTTGTGTAGAAGATCAGTCAACTCGTCAATCATGATGCCTTGACTTGGAAGATCAATCAGTCAAATAAATCATGTCTCAGATTTCCCTTAGAAAGTTACCACGGCCGTATTCACCAGTACCACGCTACGTCGCCTGGGTCCTAAACCGTTGGTGGCGCCTAACCGTTTGTGGGCGTCAAGAGTCCGAACGCTAACGGCTAAACAACTGCTAGGTACTTGGTAAGTGCAGTAGTGCAGGGGTCTTCCTTCGTGCCTTCCCCTCCACCCCTCCTTCCCCCTGGATTCTTTAGCGCGCCCTTGTCCCTTGCCGCATCTCTTGTCGGCCCCTCCATCCCTCCATTTTTAGCAGCTCCTAACGCATCTATCTGGTGCCTGACCATTCGCCTCGTGCTTGCCCATTCTTGTTCAGAGTCTGGCGTCATTATTTTTATTATTGTCTGTTCGTCGGTCCTTTTTGCCCTAATGCCAAGTCCATAGTCCATATCGAGACGTTAGTTGGTCATTCTCACTTAGTGTACTCGGTACTACTCACTCCCAATTACCCTGGCCGTCTTCTGGTCCTGACTGCACTGCACTGCACGTACCTGGAGGGGCATAAATTAAACAAGGCTCTGTCTGGGGTGGAAGGCTCGGACTTTATCCAAACACACATGCACACGAACATCATCACATCGCATTGCCAGTTCGGCCTGCCTGAGGCAGTCAATGTTTGTCACAAACTCCTCAGCTTGCTTGCTCCCCTGTCCCCGTTTCCCATTCATCCAACCATCCAAACATCCTCATGTCTCGTCCTTACCAAGCGACCTACATACTCCTACTACCACGAGGTACGATGCATCGTATCCAGAACAGACCCAAACCCAAACCGAGGGCAATTAATCAATCCCTTGTCAATCACCCTATATCTTAGTAAAACTCCGTAGCTCCGAACAAATCTGGCCGTGGCCCTGCCCTGTCCTGC